ACCAAGCCATCCATCTCTCCGCCCCTCAGTCAATCCCACCTGCGTTTATCAGCCAGGCTGGCACAATAAACTGTCTCAGGGTAGAACTGCCCCTGTGGGTTTACAAGACTGTAACTCTTCCATGGGAGGGCAAAGCCTCCGCTTCCTCCCAAGATGCCTTCCCCCAAAAGTCCGATCAAAATAGTGCTTGCTAAGGGGATCTTCTGGGGATCTTCCAGTTCAATTGAGGGCAGAGCGCTCAGCTCAAAAGGCGTTGATGACTATCTGGGGGGATTCCCAAGGGGTAATCTTGATAGATCTTCTCAAAAGACTCAGACCGATCATAGGAATTGAGAACATGGAAAGCAGCATTAGTGAGTAAAAGGCCAGAGCTTTCCCATCACGCCAATGCACCTGCGTGTTCTTCAAGGGGACCGAGGGCTGTCCCAGGGGAGCTTTGCTGAGAAACCTTACCCCCTTCAGCCCTGCTCATGCCCCTTCAGACTGCTTTTTGCTCCAAAACTCAAAGAACATTTGAAAGGAAAACTATTTGAGTCCCTTGAGACCCAAACTGTTATCTTGACATGGTGTCAATCCACAAGCACCAAAGTCTTCAGGATAGGGTTAAAAGCCCACTCCTTCCACCTGTGAGCTACACTACCTGTGGGCCAAGTCAACCCATGGATCGTGTTGCTAGAGCTTGAGACGCCTCCGAGACCCGCTTCGCCCTTCTGCTGGTGCATACATCTCTTGAGCTTGAGGCTGGTGGATCCTGTGGCCTTGCATTGCTTGCATTTGTTATCCCATCCGGACCTGCTTTGCTAAGCTCCTGAGCTGCTGACTGTTGGTGATCCACCCTGTTGTTTGCTGCTTGAGGACAGACTCTGCTTGCTTTGCCCAAGGGAGGACTCTGGCTGTCTGCTTCCTTGACCTTGGACCCAGCAGCCCAGATGAGTTGAAGGACTTCTAGTATATAACTGTTCCATGGACATGAGTTGAAGTGAACCCTCTGTACTGCTGGGTTGGACTAATTAGCTGTCATATTCTTTCTCGCTGTATAAACCTATCCATATATATATAATCATGTGTCCTGGTTTTCTTTCTCTAGAGAACCCTGCCTGGCACAGCATTTGCAGTAGCCTCCAATGCATGTGAAAGTGGGCCCTTGAGTAAGGAGGGTCAAGAAGATTTGATGCATTTGTAATATGGTGCCGGCAAAGAATATTGAAAGTACCATGGACTTCCAAAAGGACAAACAGAAATCTGTCTTGGAAGAAGTCGGGCTAGACTGCTCCTTAAAGGAAAGGTTGGCAAGACTTCGTCTTTAGTACTTTGGACATGTTGTCAGGAGAGACCAGTGCCTGGAAAAGGGCATCATGTTTGGCCAAGTATCAGGTCAGTGGGACAAAGGACGACTCTCAACGGGATGGATTGAAGCCGCGACTTCAACAATGGGCTCAAACATAGACGATGAGGAGGGTGGTGGAAATGGGGCAGAGTTTCATTCTGGTTGACATGGGGTGCTATGAGTCAGAAAGCAACGCAACAACACCCAACAACAGCAAGGTCTCTTCTCAGATGCCTGCCTTATCAACTTAAAAGCCTCTGAAGAGATAGTCCTTTTCCCCATCAATTTCCTAAGCTGATTAGAAACCACCCTAAAAGTCACTGTGTGTCTTAAATAGGTTGATGCTGTTTTTATGCACCTGTGAAATGTTCCCACTAAAAATAGTGAATCTCATTTGCACTTAATTCTTTTTTTCAAACTTGAAAATGAGCCAGTTTGGGGCAGGCTTCAAGTGAGGACCAGGTGTAGCCTTACCACCACCAATGATAACCCCATGAAACGATTGAACTTGGGGTGAGCTGTCTCATGATTTTCTTTCTCTCTTTTTAACATCATGAGCATGAGCTCTGCTTTGCTACTGGCAGCTTCTGAACATGGCAAAGCCTTGGTCACCAATGTGACCCCAGTGAGTTCATTTGGACAATTAACAGCCAGTTGGAAGTCCTCCTTCCTATCGGAGGCTTTGGCACATTACTGTCACAATACTCTTCATTCTTCCTCATTTGGAGCTGAGCCTCAGTTCTGTTGAGATTCAAGGCCTCTTTAAGCTTTCCGTAAGTGCAAAGCTGGTCCCTCTGGCCTCAATGGAAAATAACAGCTTCTGCATGCTTGCTTTCTGCCCTACACTAGTTGCTAGCCCAGTCCACAACCCAGCCTCTCATGCCTGTGTCCCAGTTGCCTAAGGGCCTGTTTAAAACACAGATTCCTGGGTCCCACATGGAACGATGTAATCAGGATCTCTGGCCCCGAGGACCCTGGCAAGCTTAATGAAGTATCCCAGCCTTCAAACAAACTGGCCCAACCCATGACTTCAGAAAGGAGATCTTGGTGTGAGTGAACAGGGCCCAGCCAGGATGTCCCTCTCAGTCTGAAACGAAGCCAGATCCTGGTGAGTGGGGCTTTTTGGGCCAGAAGTGAGGCACCTAAAGTCACCCAAGCATTATCCCCAGGCCACCTAGTGTCTCAGCAAGAGCTCAGTGCTACCCCTACAACTGCAAATGCTGGGTTAGAGACCACTCCTCAGACAGCAGGCAGTAGGTTTCCAACTCAACCTGTGAGTCCCTCATGGCATTCATCTGAAGCAAAACTCGGCTGTCATTGCTGTTGTGCTTGGGAGCCTTTCAGTCTGTCCTGACTTAGAAGGACCCTATGTACGACAGAACGGAACACTGCCCGGTCTGCACCCCCCTCACAGTGATTACGTTTGAGCCCACTGTTGCAGCCATTGGGTCAACGCATCTCCTTTTGGGAGATGAAAAGGGTCTTCCTCTTTCTCATTGGCCGACTTTACCAAACATGATGTCTTCTTCCAGGGACGAGTCTCTCCTGATAACATGTCTCAAGCATGTGAGAAGTCTCGCCATCCTCATTTCCAAGTAACATTCCAAGCTGACCTAGCCTCTGTGGAGCCCTCGGTGGCTCAGATTATGCGCTGTAGACTACTGGGACTTTAGAGTCTGTCTTTCTGAGGGTCACACTATCCCTCACAGGCCTTTTCACACTGTCCAGAGATCTTTTGCAGCAAAATTGCCCGAGGCAGCGTGGAGTTGGGTTTCTTGCCTGTTACTTCTATGGACATTGGCTGTGGTTTAAGTAAAATAAAATCCCTGACAGCTTCGGTAGTTTGCTTGTTTATCATGATGTTGCTTATGGGTTAGTTGTGAGGATTTTGTAATTCTCTATGTTGAGGTATACAGTGAACCCTTGCCACTTCGCGCTTCGACTTCCGCGGCTTCACTCTATCGCGGTTTTTGCGTAACAGCGCATGCTCTGTCATTACTGCCACTGATTGGCTCATACTGTACACGCTTCTGTCTGCATCGCTATGTATCTGAGCTACGTATCAGATGCATTTTTGCTTTTGTGCAGTGTACTGTAATTGTTTGCGATTTTTAAGAAATTTTATCTAAGCCCTATGATGGCTCCTAAATGAGCTGCTTCTTCTAAGCCTTCTGACAATAAAAATAAGCGCCAGAGGAAGATGCTCGCCATCCAGGAAAAGGTAAAACTTTTGGATATGATCAAAGATGGCAAGAAAATCATGGAGGTTGCACGCCATTTCGACTTGAATGAATCTTCCATTCGCTCCATCCGTTGTACTTCATTAAATAATAAATGATAATTGTAACATCCAAAATGTTTTACTGCATTTTCCCTTTTTCGTTTAATAAATTGGGTAATACGAGTGTAATGGTGACTAAAGGGTATTTTTTCATGTCCTCTATGCTCTAACTACGAAAATATTTGATTTACAAATGAGGAATCCTACTTCACGGATTTTCATTTATCATGGTAGGGTCTAGAACCGATTAACCGCGATAAACAAGGGTTCACTGTAATCCATACTA